ACAATGTTGGTTCTTTCTATCCAGGAACAGGGAATATCATTCCATTTTCTGAAATCCTCTTCAATCTCTTTTTTTGGAGGGTTATAATTTTCATTGTATAGGTCCTTTACTTCATTTGTTAGATTAATTCCTAAGTATTTTATTTTTTGGATGCTATCATGAAGGGTTTTGTTTCTTTAATTTCTCTCTTGGTGAGTTTGTTATCTGTGTAGAGGAATGGTATTAATTTTTTGGTGTTCACTTTGTATCCTACTATGCTACTGAATTTGTTTAGTAATTCTAGAAGCTTCTTGGTGGAGTTTTTTGGGTCTTCCATGTATAGTATTATGTCATCTGCAAATAATGATAGTTTAACTTCTTCTTTACCTATTCTTATTCCTTTTATTTCTCTCTCTTGTCTAATGGCTCTAGCTAATGATTCAATAACTATATTGAATAGGAGTAGTGATAGCGTCTTGTACCTTGTCTTGTACCTGATTTGAGAGTAAAAGCTTTCAGTTTTTCTCCATTTAGAATTATGTTGGCTGCTGGTTTGACATAGATGACTTTTATCAGGATGAGGTATTGGCCATCTGTTCCAATGTTCTGTAGGGCTTTGATCATGAATGGGTGTTGGACTTTGTCAAAAGCCTTTTGTGCATGTATTGAAATGATTATGTGGCTCGTGGGTCTATTGATACAGTCTATTACATTTATAGATTTGCATATGTTGAACCAGCCTTGAATCTCTGGGATGAATCCTACCTGTATAATCTTAATTATTTGCTGCATTCTATTTGCTAGTATTTTATTTTTTTTACTAACTTTATACTGAAAATCACTAATTCCATATCATGTTAAAAATTGTAAACAAGGGCTGGTGAGATGGCTCAGTGGTCTAAAGCACCTACTTAGAAGAAGCTCAGCAAAGCGCAGGGACCGCGGTTCAAGCCCCCAGCACCACATGTCAGCCAGCTCTGCCCCCTGGTGGGCTGAGCTGGCCACACACACACACACACACACACACACACACACACACACACACATAAATAAAAAAAAATTGTAAACAAATATTGAAATGTGAAAGATATAAGATATAGACAGTGATTTTTGGAGAAATATTTCTGAAATGAATATATCACATGAGATTAATAATAGATTGCACATTGTAAATAATTTACAAACTTAAAAGAATATAATAAAAATTGTCCAAAATAAAAATGAAGAAGAATGTTTTCTATTACTTCTGTGCATATTCCTTTTGTCATATGTGTTGCCTCCTTCTTTCTCATTGGTGCCTAGTAGTCTTATGTTGTTCATCCTTGATTGTCTTTCAACTGTTGAATTATTATTTCCTGGATCCTAGTTGTTTTTTAAGAGATCTTTCCTTACTTTTTTACTAGCTGCAATGGTGTCTTTAAAGTCTGAAAGTCTATCTTCACTTTCAGCTTTGCCAACTTTTAATGGCATTTTTAATTTCTCATTTATCTCTTTGAATCTGCTTCATGCATTCTTTCCTATATTGCTCATTCAAGGTTTCCATCATTTTTGTATTCTTCTCTATTTTTTATCATGGTCTTCTTTAGAAATGCCTTGTAATTCTCTCATTATAGTTATTCATTTTCCTTTTTTATGTACTTGGTACAGGGTCTCACTACACAGCTTGGTCTCAGAGTGATCCTCCCTTTTTCAGCTTCCCCAGCACTGTGATTATAGGCATGTGCCACCACATCTGTACTCTGTTACAGGCTCAGCGTGCCTCAGGGCAGGGCCAGCATGGCATACGGTACCAGGGATAGAACCCTAGTTCCTGTGCTTGCCTAAGCAGGTGCTTAGTTCACTGAGCTATCTCACCAGCCCTTTCATTTCTTTTTTATCTGTGAGATTATTTATGATCTGATTTTCTCTATACCTTTACTTCAGTTGCTATTATCTAAGCGATTTCAGGTGTGTGACTTTCAATTTCTGCTATGGTGATGACTCCTGGGTTTGTTCTGGGTGGGCTCGGGACCTGAGATTGCTTTTTGCTCCTTCTTTTTGTCATTTTATATTCAAGAGAAAACTCTTTATTTTGATTTTTGTGACATCCTCTTTGTGAAAGTTTGATAGTAATAGCTGTATCACTGCAGTCAGAGCCTCTCTGTAAAGAGAGTCTGTTTTTCAAGTACTCTCATGTGAGAGATTCTTGTCTTGTAATTTCCCAAGATTTTGCTTTCTTGGGCCAGCCAGATAGCTCAGCAGATTCAAGTGCCTGTGTAGGCAGATGCAGGGACTGGGGTTTGATTCCCCAGATGCTGTGCTGGCTCCACCCCTGGGGGGTGCTGAGATGGTGGTTGAGACTTGGCGTGGTGGTGCTCACCTGTAATCCTAGCACTTGGGAGGCTGAAAACAGGAAGAGCACTGTGAGTGTGATCTGTTTGTGAGATCTTGTAGATCCTGTCCTAAATATGTAACAAATAAATAAATAAATAAATAAGAGATTGCCTTCTCTATTGATTGAGAGTGAGATACTGGTTTTCACTTGGCACTGACCCCTGTCCTTCAGTGTAAGGCTTTCGTGAGATTATTGCCCAAGCACCTTCCAATATTATTACCCAAGGGAGAACAGGTGGTTAAGGTAGATATGGTTTCCTATTTATAGTAGTATAATTAGCAATACTAATAACAGCTATTGAAATTTAAAAATTGAGAAACTTTTGTAACTAATGGGTTTGTACTTTAGTCTATAGGAGCAAACACTAAACGTATATAACAAAGCAGATCTTAAATTGGGAACTTGTTTTTAAATTAGTTCCCCTGAGTTCTGTCTGAGCACCTCTCCTTCATGCACCTGGAGACTTCCAGGCAGACTAACCCACCCTAGTTACTTGCTGCCACCTCTGACCTGCTAGGATGCTCTTGTAGGTCTGGGCCTTGGTCTGGGCTCAGCTGGGCCCAGCAGTATGCTTCAGCTCACTGTATCTAGATATACTGGACTCGAACTCTACTGCCAGAACCTGGCTTAGGTCTGGTTGCTGGGTTCGGCACCTTCCAGCTGAGCCCCATCCAAGCAGACTACTGGGCCCTACCAACTGCCTGTCCCATGGCTCCTTCTGGTAGGCCCACTGAGGTGGAGTAGGCCCCCTGCGCCCTGCTGGCTGCCGCACCATGGCCTGTGTTACCCTTTAGAATCTCCTTTATTTTTTATTTTTTTCAGTTTCTCTCCAATTTTACCTTCTTTTTCTTACAGAGGCATAAGTTTTTAATTATAATTGCACTTATTATTATACACATATATTAATAACAACAAATTATAATCAATATAAATATGCATAGTTAATTAAATTTTGATAAACATACCCTAATGAACATAGAGCCCACTTCCTTTATTCAAAATATTTTCCTACGAAAAGAGGAATGACAAATTGTCAGCTGAAGCAGTTGTTGAATCATGGGCCTTTCAAGGTAAAAGGAAATTTTGTTAGGGTAAGGAGAAGTTAAAGTAAAATGAGACAAGAAGTGAAAGACAGGATGAAGAAGAAAAGGTGAAGCATTTGTGACAAATAACTGAGAAGATAGGAAAGGTCAGGATGTAGCAGGACTAACCAGAGAATAAAGAAGACAACATGGTCACTCTTGAGAGATAGAAGTTTTTAAATAAGGACACAGATAAATGTACATCAGTGTGTCAGGAATTTAAGGGGATTCTCTCTGATGGCTTCATTTTCTTCAGTGAAGCAATAGGTGAGATTATCTACTAAAAGGCTAAGAATAATGGTGAGTTGAAAAATTCAAGAAAGTTGGCTGTTAACCATGGTGGTCAAAGTGGACAATAGAGAGAAATACAGTGCTGACCCACAAACGAAATTGAAGACTAAGATTCTTTTGTGATAGAGTGGTGTGCTTTTCCTCAGAAATATTCAGCAGCTGGTTATTGGAACTGACAGTCTGATTCATCTTGCGTTAGGATATTACTGGGTTGGTATAGTGGATTAAGATGCGCAGCAGATACTTTAAATGTATCCTTCAAGGGCAGAAAATTTCACATACTATGACTGCTGCCTTTTTCCTTCCACACACATATACAGCTACTTTGTTTCCTTTATGAGAGATAATAAAATCACTTAAAAATATTTCAGGTCATTTGAGAAGTTAACCAAAATAAGGCAGAGAGAGGAAAATTAAATGTTCAATTAAAAGGCATTACAATGTTACCTGGCATCTAGTATAGTACTGTGGCGATACTAGACAGAGGGAGATTTTAGGTAGTAGAAGGCAAAGATCCTCAGGAGTAAAGCCAAGAAACTAAGATAGTTTCCAAAGAGATGCTGCTGGATTAGTCATCGTTCCAAGAAGCATCTGCTGACTCTTGCTGATCCCAATGCCTGCTTAAGATGAAAGCTGCTTGCCTTTTTTTTTTTTTTTTAAAGCCAGAGTCTTGCTCAATACTTAGTCCAAGCTAGCCTTGAGCTCACAGTGTGGCCTAGGCTAGCCTCAACCGCAGGCAAATCCTCCTGCCTCAACCTCCCAAGTACCGAGATTGCAGGCATGCCCCATCATGCCTGCCTCCTCTGCCTTTTTGTGAGTTCAGCAACCAGGGAAACTAGTTTTAGGGTTTCCAAGGTTTCTTGTTGAAATACACCACAGACCTTAGAGAACCCGTAACACCCTGGCATGTAGTTGATGCTTTAATATATTTCCATCTAATACCTGGGAAGGTCTGAAGTCTTGCAGCATCTGGGCTCTAGCTAAAGCTGAAAGGCTAACGAACTCATCAAAGACCCCAGTAAGAGACAACCTAGCCAGGTAATCTGGCCGGTTCACAATCAGTCTTTCCCCAGTTTAAGATAAGCATCAGTGTACCTGATAACAGGATGTAGAAAGACACCCTGGAGCAAAGCTGGTCTTCTGAGGAACTTTTCATGAAATACCAAGGTAAAAACACCGTACTGGCAAAGGTTTATTTTCTTTATTTTCTTTCTAGTTTAAATACGTAAAACCGTAAACTTTCTGTACTTTAAAGTAACCTATACGTTATTCTGTTACAAAGGAACATGGCTGAACAGGTAGGAAACAGATTCTCCATTGTGAGTCCTCCGGATGGCTTCCGCAAGGATCATGGAGACGTCTATCACCTGTATTTTGGAGCAGTGCTTCATCTTATCTTCCTGTGGTATGGTATTGGTGACTACGACCGCTTCAAAGCATGCACTGTCGATGCGAGTAATGGCCGGGCCAGAAAAGATTCCGTGCGTCAAGATCGCATAAATTCTGATGGCCCCAGCTGAGGCAAGTTTGTCAGCGGCGTGGCAGATGGTTCCGCAGGTGTCAGCCATGTCATCCACAAGGATGGCCACACGGTCCTTCACGTCTCCCACCAGCACCATGCGGTCCACTTCATTGGCCTTCTTCCGTTCTTTATGAATCAAGGCAAAGTCCACATTCAAGCGGTCTGCAATGGAAGTGACCCTTTTGGCTCCGCCAGCGTCAGGCGAGACAACAATGCAGTTTCTCCACTCGGGAATATTTTCCTTTATCCACTTCAGGACAGCCGGTTCTGCATACAAATTGTCGACGGGGATGTCAAAAAAGCCCTGGATCTGGGAAGCGTGGAGGTCCATGGTGATGATATGATCTGCGCCTGCTATGGACAGCATGTTTGCCACCAGCTTGGCGGAGATCGGGGCCCGGCTCTTGTCCTTCTTATCCTGACGCGCGTAGGGGAAGCACGGCATCACGGCGGTGACGCGGCTGGCCGAAGCGATCTTGCAGGCGTTGATCATGATCAGCAGCTCCATCAGCCCGTCGTTGATCTCGCCACACCCGCTCTGCACGATGTACACGTCCTCCCCGCGCACGCTCTCGCCGATCTCCACGCATGTCTCCTGGTTACTGAATTTCTTAGTCACCACCTTCCCCAGCTCCAGGCCCAAGCGGTCGGCAATTTTCTGGGATAAATCCTGATGGGAGCTGCCGCTGAAGATTTTGATATTCGGCATTGTGGTCAGCTACCTCAGGAGCTCCTAACCCAGCGACTGTGGCTACCGGAGAAGCTGCAACGGAAGTCAAGCCTCAGGCTAGCGGCTTCCGGTTGTTACCCGGATGTTACCGGTCTGTCGGTTGCGCATGCGCAGTGCTAGAGAAAGCGGAGGTTCTTTTGGAATGTTTTCCTTGAGAGTTTTTTGCATGCGCTTCAGACTTTTGAATTAAAGAGTTAGTGTATTCTAGTCCAGGGAATTGTTAATCCCCTTTTTTCAGTTTCTACAGTTTCTTAAACTAGTTTAAATACATCAAAAACAAAATTTCTGTAAAACCCCAAGCCCATAAGTTTGAAAGGAATGTTACAGATTGGAGAAATATGAGAGTGTCTTTTTTTTTTTTTTTTTTTTTTTTTGCGGAACCAGGGATTGAACTCAGATCCTTGCATTTGCCAGTCAAGCGCTTATCCTACTGAGCCATCTCCCTGGCCCCAAGAGTGTCATTTTAGACAGAATTCCTTACATTGCGCCTGGGTGGTGGGGAATGAACAAGATTTGGGAAATGCATAAGTGGACAATTGACAGTAAAAATAATTGGGCATTAAACATAAGAAACTATTAGTAATCAAGAAAATGCTAATTTTTATCAGACAAACTGAAATTATAAGATATATAATGCCTTCTGATAGAGTGTGTAAATATATAGGTTCTGCAAGAGTAATTTTTCACATAAGTATGAGTCATCATTTCTGATTCTAGGAGTTCTTTTCAAAGAAATATTTGCAAGTACCAAACAAAAATATTGATAAGGATGTTTGTTGCTGTATCAGTTTACTCAAATATTCTGTACTTTTTGTATGTAAGGTTATATACTACCTCTAGGGTAACTAGACTAGCAAATGACTAGTAACTACACTTGAATTGTCTGTAAAAATGAAATCAGGAAACTAGCAATTGTTCATCCATGAGTAAATTATCAAATAGTTTATTGTCCATACAGTGAAACTATGGAAGAGATTGATTTATATAAAATCAGATGAAAATGTCTCCAAGATTTTTTTTAAAGATAAAAAAGCTAGTCACAAAAAAAGTGCATGACATTTTATTTACAGATTTAAATTGTATGATGTTCAAGGTATCATGTATAGATGTCTCTTTTATAATGATTACCTTTGAAAAAGGGTGTAGGTTGTTGGGAATTCAAAATGAAGGACTATTACATTTCACTACCATCTATTAATGTAGCATTAAATTTTTTATTGTTCAATAGCCATTCCTGTTTTGAAAATCTATAACATGTATTGTTGTATGTTACCCTGTTTCTGGCTTTTTTTTTTCC